TTAACATGCTGTAAAAGACGGTTGCCCGTGCTCTGTGAGAGCGGAAAGCCGGGGGACAGCAGGGTAGCGCGTCCGGTCCCCCGGGCAGGTCGCTGGGCAGCCGGGGAGGCGACTCCCGCACCCCGGACGGCGGCTCCAGGACCAGGGACAGCGCACGGCGTCAACATGGCTCCGATCGCGGCCAGCCGGCATCAGTTCGGTAAGCACGTCCCGGCCCCAACTCCCCGCCCGTGGGGCTGGAGGATGCTTCCCCCACCAGGCGAAGTGCACGCAGGGCAGGCTCTGCTGAGCCACCCTGTGCCTCCCAGCACGCAGCTCGTTGGAAGGAACCTGATTTCCCCCAGTTCTCTTCGATCTCAGAAGTTGTGTTAATTTGTTCTCTTGCCCTTCTCTGTCTCTCTCTCTTCCTTTCTCCCTACCTGCCTCCGTAAAGCACCGGAAGATGAAGAGGTTTATGTAGGTGCATTTTCAGATGAGAGAGGTTTGGGGTTGTTTTCTCTGTCTTGGTTAAAGTAATGTGGCTTCAGAGTTAAATGATGTAAATACATCCTGTACCACAGAGAAAATCTTTGTTCAAGTCATTCTTAGTATAATTGTTATTCCTTTTTTCTTGTTGTAGGAAAAGATTTGTCAACCATTAGTCAAAGTGAAAAGTAGTCTTGTAAAGGCCATTGCTAGGAAGATGAAATTGCAGGTTCCCAGTGTTTTTAGCTATACAGCTGCTGATAACAATGAACTTTTTAGTTGTGTCATTAGTATGCACTGGATGTAGGGTGATTAGCTGTGATACCTGAAGTTTCAGAAAGAGTGATATATGTTCACTTAGAAAATAGATACATAAATAACTTAGAAAAGCAGTAACTAGAAATGTTTCTGAACTCCACTTTACGAATATTGACTCTAGCCTAGATTACATTTGCTTTAGCAGTGGTTTAATTCAAGGATCATTTCATTGACATAAGTGAAGTGATCACATAACTAAAATAATAACTTCTCCCAGGATCAATAGGTAATGTTTCCTATTAATACAGTTCCTTGAATGTTAACCAATTGATTTACATTATGACAACAGCAAGAAATTCAGGTTGCAACATATGTATAAGTTGTACATATAAAACCATTTTAATTAAAATTTCATCTTCTTTACTTGATGTTTCTAACCACAGTCATGACATCATGCTTCTCTAATTACTCATTTAAGGAAGAAAATTAATATTTTAAACACCAAACTGATTCTACTACTGCTTTCAGTAGTTGTAGAATTAAAATACAGCATAATTTCCATCACTAAAAAAAGTATGTCATCTCATGAAAAAATACTGTAAATGTGCAAATTATTCTTAAAACCTATTAAATTATTCTGATTAGTTTTCAATTACTCCTTGCTTTTTACCTTTATACCATGTATATATAAATTTATGTAGTCCAGGGAATTCCTGAAAAACAAAGCCATGTGCTTAACTTAGAAAAAATACTTTTTGGTTATAATTTTCAGTAATTTCATTAAGTTCTTACAATTAAGTATGTAGATGGATATATCTTGTAGGCAAAGGGAAAGTGACATGAATATTGTCAGAAGAAATTAATAGCCAGGTCTGATCCTTTCTGTGCTGGAACATTATGTCATACTTTGCTCTGATAGTATTGTGGGTTTTTTTGAATCATAGTATTGTTGTGAGTTTTTTTGAATCATTCCACTAAAAAGCAAAGGTATAATGGCAGCACATCTATCTGCCGAGCTTTTACCTGGATAAAGCTGATTTAGTAATACATAGAGGGGGATAGTTTTGCTTTTCTCATCCAGAATGATCTACCAATCTTTTGAAGAGAACCAGAACTGTTACACAATTGCCTTTATGCATAAACAATGTAATGCCATTAATAATCTACTAGTCTTCCACTGTTGCAGGGAATAAAGATTAAGCTCTGATTGTTAAATTATGGGAGGTTTAAACTCACTTAGTAATGTTACTTATGGGCAAAATAGGATTTCCAATTAGTTGTGCTCATTTGCCCCTTCGATGTATGCTTTGAAAGGCTAATGATACTCTATATGTAACTAATGCATCCACATGACAATTGAGGTTGTAACACTTGCTCAGTTTTCTCTTTATTCAGTTTTAAGTGTAGGATTCATACTAAAGCAGAAAGGAATTATGTTTTAATGTTTTTCTTATATACTCCTAAAAGGTAGTGACCCTTCCTGTAAACTCCCCATAGGTTTGATTCATAATGTTTTAAAACCAAAGCTTAGTGGTTATCAATGATACACTTAGTTTTTTCAGCTTTGGGGCACATGTGACTGCCCAATATAACACCTATCTGGAAAAGACACCTGGTATATAATTATTCTAAATTTTCTTGATAGACTTCCTCCTGCAAAGTACTGAAATCCCATTGAAACTGTTGAATGTTGTAACCTCCAATTAAACTCAGTTCTTTCAAGAGATACCCCCAGGAAGTTATGTGGTCAGACCATAAAAAAATTAGTTAATTGAGACTACAAAGTATTCTAGGAAGCAGTGTGAAAAGCAGAGGATATATATATAAGTAATGCATATTTCAGAATCTGTTTTGTCTAACCAACAAAGCTTCATAAACTCAAAGCTGAAACCTTCTGAGAGCTGGTATTGCTCACAGACATAAACTCAGAAACTACACACAGAAGGATGAGATAGTCGAGCAATTACTAATGGTTATTACTATTAGGATAGGAACAGTATTTTCCTCCCAAACACTCTGTATGGAAAAATACTAACATAACAAGTGTGCCTTAGTACGGGACTACACATTCATACCTGCAGGTGGTGAGCAATATGTACAATGTAAAGCACTTTAAGTCTGTCGATCCTGCTGCAATTACCATCTCCTATCAGTTTGTTTGACTAAATTGTTGCTTTGTTAAATATCACAGAGTCCAAGGCAATGCTACTTATGTGCTTGTTGCTATTTATTTGATTTGCAGATGAAATTTCTACAGTGGCTGGGATCTTTAGTGCATTTGGCCTTGTCTTCTCTGTCTCCCTTTTTGCTTGGATCTGCTGTCAACGTAAATCTTCCAAATCCAATAAGACCCCTCCATATAAGTTTGTCCATGTTCTGAAGGGGGTTGATATTTACCCTGAGAATCTCAACAGTAAGAAGTTTGGAGTAGATGATAAAAGTGAAGCAAATAACAAATCAGCGATGCCAAAGAATTCTCTCCATCTTGATCTGGAGAAGAGAGATCTAAATGGCAACTTCCCCAAAACAACACCCAAAATCCAGAGCTCTCCAGATCTTGAAAATTCATCTCCTAAGCACTTTGCAGAAAGGAAGAAAGATTCAGTATCTCCTGATAGTTTAAAATCCATCACTTCCCTGTCATCTGAAGATAAACAAGAGAAGCTAGGAACTCTTTTTTTCTCCTTAGTGTACAACTTTAAGAAAAAGGCATTTGTAGTGAACATCAAAGAAGCATGTGGGCTGCCAGCAATGGACGAACAGTCAATGACTTCTGATCCCTACATCAAAATGACAATCCTGCCTGAGAAAAAGCACAAGGTGAAAACCAGAGTGCTGAGAAAAACCTTAGATCCAGCTTTCAATGAGACCTTCACATTTTATGGAATCCCCTACAACCAAATTCAGGACTTAACACTTCACTTTATGATCCTGAGCTTTGACAGGTTTTCCAGAGATGATGTCATTGGAGAAGTACTCATTCCCCTCGCAGGAACTGAACTGTCAGAAGGAAGGCTGCTAATGGACAGAGAGATCATCAAAAGAAATGTTAGGGTAACATATTTTCTATTTAAAAATTAAAAGTGTTGTGCTACTGTTAGCTATGACTCTTGTGTAATGCTGCTAGCATCTTGGAAAGAAAAGGGAACAAGTTCATCATGAAAGTCATTGAGATGCTTTCATAATGGGAGTATGAGGAAGCAATTGCACAAATGTAATAAAAGAACATTACAATGAGCAGTCAACTTGCTTATTCCAGTGGTCCAGCAGGTTTGAGTGGACCCATTTACATTAGGTCAAGTGGCCTTAATCCATATTAATTTGCTTTAAAAGGAAAGAATGCAAAGTTTTATTTATTCATACATTATTCCCCTTCTCTTCCCTCCCCTTTTCTGTTTGGAAACATTCTTTCTTAAAGCTTATAGAAGTCAACATAAATATTTCACTTTGACTACATGGGTTTTTTAGCTGATTCTTAAAGAATGCAGGTAGTCTTTATTTAAGGAATTGGAACCTGCTAGACACCATATTTTTAATGTTGTAGTATGTTCTCACACTTCAGTGCTGTTACTGCCTTCTAAAGAACTGTGACACAGGCTGCAGCTCTACTAAGGATAGTAAGACATGAGGGAGGAGCCAAAGACATGAGGGAGAATCCAAAGACTTACTGAAGTCAGTGGCAAAACATATTGACTTCACTGAGCTAGAAATATTTCATACTATTTTGTCTCATTTCAGAATGTAAATATCATTTACAACTATCACAGCTGAACCACAGAAATGTACATGCTTCACACTCACATCTCTTAATCTCTGCTAAGGAAGTGGAATGTGTATTGACTTTCAGTTTGATTGTTTTCAAAGAGTAAGCATGCTGCCAAATCAAATAAATGTCTACCAGACAATATGCCTATAACTAATACTGTTATTTTGCAATTCTATTGCTAGATTACAAGAAGTATAACTATATCACTGATACTTTGTTTATAACTTATTTTATTTTCTGGTATATAATATATTATTTTAGCTTGTTTCCTTTGCCTGACTCCTTTCTTTGAAACAAACTACTCCTGCAAATTCAAATCTAATAATCATAGAGAAAGTCTTTGATCTCCTCTTTATTTCACGTGTATTATACTACTTTAGAAAGTGTCAGGAATAAGATTTCACTAACTGTTTCAATCTTTCCTGTTTAAAAACATGTTACTAAAGATTGGTTTTATTTGCTTCTATTTTTTTAATATATATCTTTATGGAATTTTGTTTTTGTTTAAGATCTTTTGCTTTCACTGAGATTTTTTTCAGGATGTAGGATTTAACTTCTAATCTCTGAAGCTAATGTCATGTCAACCTATATTTTCACTTATTTATTATTTATTTTTGTTCAATCTAATAACCAACCATAAGAAGAGTTATATAACTACAGTACAGGGAAGTTATATTTGCTATGTAAAGCATAGCTCTATAAATTACATCCTTCTGAACTATTTCAGAACATACAGTTATGTGACATCTCATAAATCTCCTTAATTCTAGTTTAAAGCTTGTTCAATATAATTGCTTATAAATAGTTGGGTTTTTTTCCTTTTTTCTTTCATTTCCTCAGAAATCATCTGGACGTGGAGAATTACTGATCTCTCTCTGTTATCAGTCTACAACAAACACGCTCACTGTGGTTGTTTTAAAAGCCAGGCATCTACCTCAATCTGATGTGTCAGGATTATCAGGTAATGGTTTTACTAATGAATATACTCTAAGAATACAAAAGAGACAGACAGCAGACAGCTGAATTGTGACATTTCAAAGACTAAAAATAGACCATAAATGCAGAAATGGTATCTCTATTAATTTGCAGTCTATTCATTTTATTCATATCTAGGCCAATTCTTTATTTTCCAGGGTATTTATTTTACAAATTTGTTCTTCAATCACATGTTAAAAAAATATGGCATCTGTTAGCAGTGGAAACCAATGAGTTTTGTGATTGTCTTGAACAGAACCCATCTGCCATAAGTATAGGGTGCTGTTTGCAGATACTAAAAGCTTTTATTTATGACAAAACCCAGTTTATTTATAGAAGATCAGTATTGAGTGAGATCATCATATGGTTTATTTCAGTTTAGCACCAAGAAAAGCAACCAGTTACATCTGTGCTGAATTTGGCCCGCTGAGCACTAACATTTATTTAGCAAAGTGAAAAGGTGAACTATGCCAGTGCTGGAAGCAGGCTGTAAAATAACACTTGTGCTTTATTATGAGCTGAACCTGGGGTGCACTAAGAAGAGGCAGGTTTTGCACTTCTTTCTCCTAATCTTGTGCCATTTTACATTCAGTGGAACCTCCTCTGAAGCCAATACTTAGATGCTAGATAACATAACAAAATAAAATTTAATGTACATTATACTAAGGATAAGACAACCACACAAAAACAACAGTACACAGCAAAGAACTATATAAACAGTAGCACATTTGCTGTTGATTCTGTATAGGACTGGTATTCTTTCATTTCACAGGATTTTTTTGAAAGAAGCAGAAAAGGAAGTAATTTTGCAAATTACTGAATTATAATTACTACAGCCAATAATACAGCCTTTCTACTTCTCATACCAAGAAATACTGAAATTTACCTGGAAAGTTTACACATCCTGGATCCAATACAATAGTTATAGACAACTCCCATTTAGATGGTGAAGTTCCATTGAAATTCTCTTTCTGATCTCGATTTTATTCACATAAGGAGAAAGCATATAAATGGAGCCCAACAATTGACTCCACTATAAGAGAACATATGTACTTATGTCATATGAACATATGAACATATGAACATATGAACATATGTCACCGAGGCGAAGAGCTCCAGAGAGG